GTATATAGGTATGAGAAAATTATATATTAGTCTTAAACTCTAAAAAAAAAAATTTAAGTTTCAATCTAAAATGATGTTGTTTTATTCATTTAAAACCTAATTTGAAATTTTAAAATGCACCTTCTTAATTATTAATATCCTAATTCAAAAATTAATTATTTATTCTAAAATAATTGCTTCCAAATATATGTATTAATATTTGATAAAGTAGATTTCTAAATTTTGCATTGGGTTTTAATTAAATTAAATAACATTATTTAATGTTATGACTTTAATATTTTTTTTGAAAATTAAGACTGATATGTACTATTCGTTACAAGTGTATATAAGTATATAAATATATACAATAATGAAAATAGTGCATATCAATCTTGATTCAAAAAAAAAAAATTAGAGTTCCAACTTTAAACAATTTTATTTTATCTAGTTAAAACTAAATTCAAAATTATTTCGAAATCGAAAACTCAATTTAAAATTCAGAAATCCACTATATTAAATTTTGATATATGGACTTAGAACAATTGATGTTAGAATATATAATATATAATTAGTTTCCAAATTAAAATTTTTTTTTTGATAGACTAAATTTAGGTATTAACATGGTGAATTTATGAAAGTTTAAATTAGATTTTAATTAAATGAAACAAGTTGTTTAAAATTGAGACTCTAATTTTTTTAAATAAATCAAGGATTAATATGCATTTTTATCCATAATAATATAATAATTTAATTTACTTATTAAGTATTGATAAGCATTGATTTCTTTAGGAACAAGTTAGTTAGGAGAAAAATTAGGAGATTAAGTTAGGAAACAGGAGAAAAGTTAGGAAATTAAATTAGGAATAGCCAAACAGGTCAAAAGAAAGTTAGGATATATATTGGAAATGGGGCAGCAAGGAGTAGGCGAAAAACAGAAAATGGAGAAAGAAGAGGCAAAGCAAGACTTTCAAGTTGTTGAGCCTCCTGTAGAACATCATTCTTGCTTGAAAGGAATGATGTCCTACGGATGCTCAACAACTTGGAAGCAATGATGTTCTACAGGAGGCTCAGAGAAAACAGGTTGCCTTTTATATATGCTTTTGTTTCATTTTCTGCATTATTTTCCATCCATGCACCATTTCTTAGTCAAAGATTTATTTTGCCTCCTAAAAATAATATTTTCGACTCTATATTTTATAATAATATACACATTTCTTCTCACTTGAATCCTGTATGTTTATGAAACTTGTTTACCATCTCTGGATTCTTTGTTTTCCTTCACCTGGACCAAGATAAAGGTACAATATATTATCTTTTATATAGGACTTGTGTATAAAATGATTAAGCCCTCATTTGATGGCTGCATCATTTTTGTTGTTCTAAAAGAATTTTTTATCTTGGCAAAGCCTTTCTCCTTTAACCTATCCATCCATTTATTTATCTGTTACACTTTATCATACTTGAAAAAGGTAATTCTTTCTGTAGGGATCACATCAGTAATATTCCTTGCACCGGAATATAATTTATTTTCTTAATTTGCTTGAGTTATTAAAAATTAATGCATTTATGCCTTGTGCCACATGGTTAAATTGAACTGCATGCATTGCCGATGCTTATTTCAAGGGAATCATGCCGAATTTTGAATTGTACAGGGGATGTTTTTGTTTGAGTTGGAGCAGTGAGGACAAGGCGAAAATAGAAAATCAAGAGAGAAAGAACAGGTAGAGCAAGAAGGAAGGTTCTACGGTGCGCTCAACAACCTGAAAGGAATGATGCTGAATTTTGAATTGTACATGGGTTCTTTCTCTTATGGTTAACAGCCATAATTCCAAAATCAAAATATTGGACCCATTGCAATCCTTCAACTCAATGCTGCATATCCCCAACAGCAGCAGAATTAACTTCATCTGGCGTTCGGAGCAGACCAAATCCAAGCAATAAGAAAGTCAGAACCTGAGAGGGTATTGGAGAGGTTCTTTATGTTTTACCATGAGATATCCTCCCTTTCTGTTATAATTGCTTTCACAGCAACGGCTCAGATGCTAGATAAGTATGGATTGAAAGTGGGATTGGGGTTCCAACAATTTCAATATTCATCTTTGATAGGTATCGATGGGATGATGTTCTACCGGAGGCTCAGAAAAGCAGGTTTGCTTTTTATGCTTTTGTTTCGACATATTTCTTTGGGGAAAAATTAGGAGATTTAAGAGCCACTTTAGTGTGGTTAGAGCTTAATTTTGGTAAAGGTTTTGTTTAGCAAAATTTGTTGTAAAAGTTTTCTTTGTGAGTATAAAATGTTAAGTAAATTTCATGTGATATTTAAATAATTAAAAAAAATATTTTTATATACAATCTCTATTTTGTATTTTTTTAGTTGTACAAAACTTTCGATTCTTTATAAGTCTAATTATTTTATTACTTCATTTATAAATTTTATAGTAATAGAAATATAAGCCTTTCCAAAACAAAATTTGTAACTTGCTACCCTCTTAACTAACTGGCAAAGATTCGGATCAGTAAGCCGAGCTACAATTAATGCATTGCATTGCTAAAATCTATGTTCTATAATGGATTGGCATTAATGAATATGTTACGAGATAGTCGGATAAATAAAAAATAAAAATAAAAATTATGCTAAACAATTATCTTGAGAATAGAAGTAAATATATATACTTTCTTAAACCCTTGGCAATTTGCATTTTTTCTCAACAACTTCCATGACAAATAAAATTTTCCACTAAAAATTTTCCTTTTATCAACAAATCTATCATTACATATTAATTAACTAACAAAAAATATAACAAATTTGCAATTAATTATCTTCATTCCGCGGAAGTCATCATCCAAAACAAAAATTTGCAACCAAAGGGACAATCTTGACTCTGATAGAACAGATAGTCAACATCCCAAACCCAGTTCCCATCATACACATCGCAACTGTTGCCACCTTCTTCAAGAAACCCCACCCGTCCGTTCACACTCAGAGCCACCGTTGGTAGCGGTGATGCTGACAATGACGGTGATGATCAACCCCCAACAAGTCCAAGCCATGGAAACCCCACGGAAGTGGATGGCACGGTAGTCAAAGTTGAATAAGCAACCAATGAAGAGGAAAGCGACCAAAATGAACCCAAAAACACCCAGAAACGGCGCGAGAGGGCTAAAGTTCTTGGCTTTCTTGGAGAAATCTAAACGGGTAATCGAGTCAAGCCTTAATCTTCCTGCTCTTTGTCCCAGAAATGTGCAGTGTTAAAGAACCAATACCAGTTACCCTTGTGAACTCTAAAAAGAGGTGCTCTCAACTAAAGAACAGAGAGAACTAGGCTTGATAACACTGATTTATAACACTAATTTGTGATTGTAAGGTATAAGTGTTTTTTTTTTTAATATTTTAAAAATATGTAAAATATATTTTATATATTTAATATTCATTTTAATTAATATTATATATTTTTAAAAAAATTAAAAAATTAAAAAATTAAATACTAAAAAATATTATCAAACAAAACCCTAATGAGAGAGTAATTACATTCAAAAATAGTAAATGGGTAGTTATAATCCAATTTATGGTACCAATTACCAATGCTATGTGGAGTCTTTCCACTAGAACATTTGTCATTGAACGAATGTCCTCTGCACCAAAGTTTGTTTGGCATAATGTAGCAAATTATCTATTAACTATTATTTTTCTCATTTTAGTTTAGTATCTTTATTTTTTTTCAAACTCATCTATAAAATTGTTTCATTTTCATTTAGCCACGCAAATCTTTTAATTCTGTTAATGGAATTCCACCTATGCTGCCACATGTGACCATGTAAGCAGGAAAAATTTCCCACCTCATTGTTTTTCTTAAAATTTTTTTTTTTGTCGTTGTTTTCCTTTAATTAAAACAAAACCTGTTACTAGAAAAATAATAAGGTTTTTTAATCTATGCCTTTAAAGCATATGTTAAAAATATTTTTTTATTATAAATGTATATTAAAAAATATAAAAGTTGACACTAATTTTAGTGTCAATGCTAAGTGGTTGATTTTAATTGCATAGTTAATAAATTAAAAGTTGATTTTTATTTTTTTAATATAAATTTATGATGAAAAAGTATATTTAATACATCATTAACATGCACTCTTAGGGCATAGATTTGAAAAACTCAAATAATAAATATATATTTTAACTTGTATTTTAGGGACACTTGTTAAATTTTTTTTTTTAAATGCTTATATTTTAGTTTTATTATTTTGGTTTATCTAATATGTTCACTAAAAGCATACGATAAAAGTGTATTAAATATATCTTTTTATCATAAATTTACATTGAAAAAATAAAAATCAACATTTAAATTATCAATTGTCTAATTAAATTCAACTACTTAGCACTTACATTAAAATTAATATCAACTTTTACATTTTTTTATTTACATTTTTTTAATATATTTATAATAAAAAAAATATTTTTAACCTGTGTCCTTAAATAACATATTAGAAAAACCCTTATTATTTTCTAGTAACAGGTTTTGTTTTAATTAAAGGCCAACGGTGGCCAAAAAAATTTAAAGAGAAATGATAAGGTGGGAAATTTTTTTTACCACGTGGTTGCTTACATGGCAGCATGTGTCAGCACATTTGGCAGCACAAGTGAAATTTCATTAATAGAATTAGCAGAGTTGTGTGATATCGACAAAAATGAAACAATTTTGAAAGTTAATAGATGAATTTGAAAGCAAATAAAGATATTAGACTAAAATGAAAAATAAATAATAGTTAATAAATGATTTGTTAGACAAAGTTTGTTTTTTTTTTTTTTTGTCTAAGTGAAGACTTGGGCTTAAGGCTCACTGCATGGTGTTGGGCCACTATTCAAACACTACATGGTCCACACAGCACCAGATTCCTTACTTTGAATGATTCACTTCAACAAAATTCCTTAGGAAAAGGTCAATCAGGAGAAAAGTTAGGAGATTAAATTAGGAACAGGAGAAAGTTTGGATATTTATTGGAAATGGGGCAGTAAGGAGGAGAAGGCGAAAAACAGAAAGTCAAGGGAAGAAGAGGAGGCAAAGCAAAACTTTCTAGTTTTTGAGCATCTGTAGAACATCAGGCCTTCGCAGATCTAAGTTTGGTGTCGGTGGTGTTGTTTCTTCATTTGTTTCTAATTTCAATTTTATTTCTTTCCAACTCAAGGGATGATCTCGGTTTGAGTTTGGCGTCGTTGGGGTGGATAAAGAGTTTTCAGGGATGATACTTCGGCCCAATCAGGCGGATGGAAAGGTAAAATGATTTTTCCCTTCTCATTTTTCTTTTACTGTCGTTGGTGTGAGTTTGGTATCTAAAAGATGAAAAATAAATGCAGAAAATGAAACAAAAGCATAAAAAGCAACCTGTTTTCTCTGAGCCTCCTGTAAAAGCGCATTCCTTTACAGGAGTCTCAGAGAAGACAAGTTGCTTTTTATGCTTTTGTTTCATTTTCTGCATTTATTTTCCATCTTTTAGATACCAAACTCAGACCAACGACAGTAAAAGAAAAATGAGAAGGGAAAAATCATTTTACCTTTCCATCCGCCTTGTTGAGCAGAAATATCATCCCTGAAAACTCTTCATCCACACCAATGACGCCAAACTCAAACCGAGATCCCTCTAGTTGGAAAGAAATAAAATTGAAATTAGCAACAAATGAAGAAACAACACTACCGACACCAAGCTTAGATCAGCCTTTCCGGTCACCGGCACATCCTCGCTCCTCTACGGTTATTATTGAAATGATGATATTTGTTTGTTCAATAATAACCTTTTGCTTTCTTCTAGTATTCTTTTACTTAAAATATGTTCATTTTTTCCTGTAAT